AAATCATGTCCAAAATTCGACTACGAAAACACAAAATAATGCACAACTCGGTCAAAACTCAATATCTCTGAAAACAGAAATAGGATTCGGAGTCCTTACCACGAGATCTTCACTTTTCCCAACACCAGCGTCGAACAAAAAGCGCTCCGCGGCCTCCAAAATCCAGCTTTTCCTCTTTTCCCTTATCTTTCTCTCTCCTCAAATCAGATATTTTGATTTTAAAATGATTTTCTCTCTCATCAAAACGAGCTGATTTTCTTATATCATTAGGCTGATCGGCCCGGCCGATCGCCAAATCGTCCCGGGACGATCAGACCAAAATCATCGGCCTGGACGGTTCCCAGAACTATTTTCAGGCCGATATTTTGAACAGTACAGATCGGCCTGGACGATCTCACTATCGTCCCGGACGATCCTTGGAGGAAAATCCAAGTCATAGAGGAACAGTAAGGGAACGAGGTCTCACACCTATTATGCTACAATTTTTATTAGTGAGGATAATAACACCATATACATCTCCCACATTACTGTTGTCACCCTCGGTATCCACTATCATAGTTTGAAACACATCATTGCTTCCTCCCTAGTTGGGTAAACCACACATTGTTCACATTCCTACCCTACCATGATGAATTGCTTAAAGCAAAGCCATCCATCATTACTTGTCTTTCTAGCATCCATGTACTCCTTACTCCAAGTGCCTTTGCCAATAAAGACATCATTATTGGTTCCCAACTTTGGTAAACAAAACAATGAAAAAAGCTAATTTGATGATATATGTCTATATAGCCATCACTAAACTATCCACCATTGATTTGACTCTAATTAGTATCTTTTAACTCCCCTCATCATCTCTCATCACCTTCATCTTTGATATCTTCATCAATATATAATGAACTAATAACTTCTCATCCCTCTTCTTAAATTTCAAAGAAAGGATGTCAAAAGTCAAAGTAAAGTGATTTGAAAGTATGGGCACTAAAAACAGTGCTTTGTTGTGTGTGTGTGTGTGTGCGTGTGTGTGTGTGGAGTTCGAAATTGAAAAGAAAATATAATGCATAAAAAAATTTAAACCTAATATAATCATGAATATAGTAAAAGCTTCCAAGTTGCTCATACCAAATGTAATAACACCTATTGACTAGAGGGCTAACTAGTTTTACATAAAGTATTTTGGTTGGATTTTTACTCTCTTGAGGCATATACATTTACCCACTAATTCAAGTATAGTGGACCAAAAATGTTCTATAAATTGACACACCTTCAATTTCTCATTCTTGAGTAACATATGGTGCCTCCAAATGATGCCTACCATAGCAAGCATCTTGTGTCGGATGTCCCGCTGTCATCATCTAACCACAACCACAACACCACTCATTTTCAAGCCAATTAGAGCAAATATATTATATTTGATAGCAATTAAGATATAGCACTTGTCCTCTATATATAATCACTTGTCTCTAAAAGAAATAAACACATGGAGTTATAGTGGCTCTTTTAGACAACAAATAGAAATCATATTTTCACCCTTTCAATATGTATAATTTCAGACTTTATAAAGACATGTGCAACTATGTAGATTAAATTCATATAAAGACAAAGGCCTCTCCTCTCTCTTCAATCGATTTTCACTTATTGGGAAAAGTGGACTTCTGATGTTAATATATCTTTTCTTCATTTCATAATGAAATTCTCCCCTTGCTACTCTATGGACTTGAACTACAAAGGAAAATCACATTAAATCCCTGTGTTCATCTACCATTTCTACACCAACAACAATCTTTCAACCGTCTAATCCTCCTCTAAGACCGACTTCTTTGTTTTTTTACTTCTTATCCCAAACTAATAAGTGCTTTGGATCAAGGACACATCATCTTTGTCCTATTTTTGGGCTCCATCTTCTGTGCTCATGAGCCATACGACGTCTCCTTAATCATAAAATGATTTCTCACAACAATTCTAGATGACTTATTAGTTAAGCAATTTTTAAGTGATTTTTTAAATGAGGTGAGAGTTAGTTCAAAGTTTAATGAGATTTTTTTATTTCCTTTTTTTTTGTTGAAATAATACCTTAGTCTATCAAATTCATACTGATTTAATATATTTATATCTATAATAAAATTGTACATAATATCCACAAATACATGTGTGAATATACCTTTTTTTCTTGTGAAGTTAATTTAAATGGGAAAAGGGCAAAGTGCAACTCCAATTTCAATTTATCAACTTTCCAATTTTGATTTCTTTTCAATTTAATTATTTCATCAAAAGTTAAGAAAATATCTAATATATTAAAAATTTTACCTAAAAAGATATTTTATTTAGAGTAAAAACAATACAATTTTCAGTCAATTAATACAAATGATTATATCCATGAATAACCTCATTTTAATAAATAAATAAATAAAAACCTCATTTTAATTGATTACTTTAAACATATTGAACATCTTTTTAATTCTATTTTAATGTAGAAAGAAGTTTCTTAAAAAACTACAAATGCATTTTTTTATTCATTTATTCCAACATAAAAAATATATTTAAGGTAATAAAACCCTAAGATCTACAAATGGGACCTAAACAAAATTATCGCGAAGTTGCGCTAAATGGCAAAAGGTTCCCATGATAGTTACATTGCATCACATGATTATTCTCAAAAGGTATACTTTTCCATAACGGCCAAAATATGCCACGCCAGAAATTAAATTTATCATTTATTATAATTAAAGTATTTCATGAAGCTTCTGGACTGGAAAAATTCTGAGAAACTTTTTTCACACGTATTTCTGATACAATCATTTAAGGCCATGAAATTTCTTTTAGATTCGGGAAGATTTGTTGATAGAAAATAGTGCTCAACTAATGTAGCAGATCTAACGGTTATAAACGTTTATATGAAAATCCCTAAAAACCACTGTTGATTGGATCTTGGAGCTCGGTTCTGGCAGATATTCCCTCGCCTGCCCCATTGCGGTGGCAGACCAGCGGGGCAGAGGACCACGAGCCCGCCACGCGCTAGTTCAGTCAATCAATCTTGAACGTACAAGTGGCATCATTTCAGCCATACACCTCGCACAAAACCCTAGCCGCATTCAGCTTCCTCCTCTATATCCCTCTGCCGCTCATTCAGCTCATCCACTTTTCTCATTTGTTTTCTGTATCGAGTTTCATATCTCTTCGTGAAGATGCTTCTCAGAGCTTCCTCCGCTGTCTCCCTTATGTCTTCCTCATCCGAATCGTCATCTCCGGGAGCTCTTCTCCGCCGGCGATCGCAGGCGATGGCCGGCTTCTTGACGGTTCCTCAGGTGGGGAGGTCAGCGGCAGGACCCATAGCTGCTGCCGGAGTCGATAGCAGCAGGACTTTGACAGGCGTGCTATTCGAGCCCTTCGAGGAGGTAAAGCAGGAGCTCGCGCTCGTCACCTCGTCACCTGGCAAATCGCTTGCCCGACAGAAATACGCTGATGAATCCGAGGCTGCAATTAACGAGCAGATCAAGTGAGATATTCTTATATCCTTTCGTTTTCTGTCTGAAACTTTGGTTGGTGTTCTGTTTTTCTTAGACAAGTTTTTTTATTAGTCCTGCTGGCTATTTACTCGTTTCAAGGTTCTTGCCAGATCCTTTCTATTTCTGTTGATCTGGAATTATTCTTCTTTTGTACTGCGTAAGATTTTTTATGGATTAGATTTCTTTAGTTCTTAGTCATATATGTTTTAGGGGGTATCAGTCAGTCTATCGAATTATACCCCCTTTTCCCCCTATCAAATACTCTGTTTTCGGGATTCTTATGTGGTATAACTTTTTCTATGTTGCTTTTTCTATTGGTGGAATGTTCTATGGCTTTACAAAAGGCGCGCTTATTGTTTATTTATTTATCTTGGGGGGAGAGAGTTTGCTTTTGTAGTACCTTTAATATACGAATTAACATGCATGCCATCCTAATCTTTAGTATTAATGACTGGTTAATATATTATTTGCTAGGGCATGTGAGGTTTTTAGTTTAGTTTTACATCAACTAATTGAAAATTTTATTGATCTAGACAAATCAAGGAATATAGGCTATATCGCTTAGATTGAAATATGAATATGAGAACTGTGGGTCTCCGAAAGGATTCTGCTCATGGTTCGAATGCAAAGAGTACGATCACACTATCCCGTAGGACAAAATGGTCGTATTTTTTTACTCACCTTGCTGTTCCCATTTTTTTAGCTTTGGGATGGCCAATCAATAGAGAGAGGAGTAGCCTCTCTTCATTTGCTTTTCTCGAACTGCACTTCTCCATTTAGAGGAAAGAATAGCTCCTGACCCTCATAACCCAAGGAAGGTAAAGGCTTTTCCATGCATACAACTCTTCCCCTGCTTCATTTTGATCAAGCGAGGACGGACAACAAATAAAGTCATTGTTGCGGTTGGCCTGCAATGACTGGTTAATATATTATTTGCTAGGGCATGTGAGGTTTTTAGTTTAGCTTTACATCAACTAATTGAAAATTTTATTGATCTAGACAAATCAAGGAATATAAGCTATATCGTTTGGATTGAAATATGAATATGAATATGAGAACTTATATAACTGACGTGATTTTGATCCATTTTCTTTATAATTCATCTTAAATTTATGTCTCCTATGAATATTGGCCTTCACCAACTCTTTTTATAAAGGTTGTTGTAAAGCTGCCGTGGAAAAAAATAGTTTTATTGAAAGCTGCTGTAGAAAACAGTTTCTTAATACAAAAATTATTTAAAGTAGTGAAAAATTAGTGGCCAAATAAAAATTATGGTTTTGGCCTGAAAAGCAAAGCAATATAAAAGTTATCCTAAATGAAGCCAAAATTTGAGTGGGGCTCAACTTACTCTTAACTAACCTTATTATATATATGACTAAAATTTTATATTAGAGATCATATGTTTTCTTTTAGATATAAAACAAAAGATTTGTAAATGGAAAAATTGGCTCAAAATCTATAGCCTTTATATAGGCATAAAAGGAAACACCAATAGCTACAAGACTAGCTACAACCATAAAACTAGAAACAAAGATCAACAATGTTATATGGAGAACATTCTTATAGTGTAAAAATATATGTCACATGGTATGAAATATCTCAAAGAGAATAGTTTGTATCTTTATATTTTGCTATTTTACTATAGATTTCACAAAAAATAATTTCATAACTTTTCTAATAAAATTATAACATGTATTGAAGGAGTTTTTTTTCACCTTCAATGACAATTGTTCGATTGGTTACATGTACATATCTTAATATATTGTTATTATGTCATAAATTTTATAAGAAGTATGGATTATTCTTGTATTATCTACAAATTAAACTCATGTAATTTCATGTTATTTAAATATATAAACCCATTTACATTATAGAAAGATCACATTTTTAATTTCTAGAATTTATCCTATGATGAAGCATGTGCACTTCTAAATGTCTTTCGTGTTAGTCTTGGGCACTGACATGGCTCCGACACCCCTTGACACATGTCCAACACTTTTAATATTTTGTCAAAAGCATTTCATAGTAAAATTAGGCTCCAGTTCCGATGGGCCTGGGCAAACAAAGAGATTCCCATGGAAATAAAAATAATAATATTTTACACACAAGGACTAGCGTAGATGTGAAATGAGTATATATTACGTTCTATTACAAAATTTATGTTCCTTCACATGAAATTTTTTTGGATAAGAATTTTATATATATATATATCTTGAATTTAATATATATATATATATATATATATATATATATATACTTATTAATTCTTTAACTATAAGCTGTTTTTAATCATTAAATTGTAAGACAATTGTTTAATTTCACAATAAAGAAGTTGAGACATAAATTTTCTTTTTCATAAGATAAAAAAAAATATTGCGAAAATGGAAGAATGGTCTTTCACTCTAAATTAATTACACTTAGGAATTTGGGCTAAATTTTTTTCACACAAAAATGATAGGTATAAGAACTTTTGAGTTATACAAATGGTAGTTGATATCTTAAACTGTTGAGTAATGTTTAAAGATAAAAAATCCTATTAATTTTCATTTATTATGGTTTCCATCGTGTTATATCATTAATCCATATAATATGTTGTAATTTTGATTTTTTTTAATTACTTTCATTAATTTTGGCTTTGTTTACAATGAGAAGACTTTCATTAACTATTATATGGTTTAGAAATAACCTATATCAAGTAGTTTAACTTGATTACCATACATTATTAATACTTCTAAATTTGTAATTCATTTATCTTTTAATCAGCATGTCAACAATTCTATTTATTTTATAAAGCATATGTATGTATATTACACTCTACTAATAATTTACTCTGTGATAAATTTACTAGAAAATACTTGTGAATTATTATTTTTTAATTTATAATTTATAAAATATAATATCGTGTTTGTGTTTATGGAATGTTATGTTTAATTTTTTATAGATGTAATGTCATATATAAGGATATAATTACCTAATTTTTTTCCTTTACAAATTATGATTTTATTTTCAATCATTTTATGTGTGAAATTAAAATTGCTAAATTGACAAAATCTTAAGAGTATTTGTGGAGTTCAAAGTTAACTTTAATTTCAAACTATACTTACACCAAATGATGGGTTTGCAAAATTTTTTATTATTTGAAGACAGGGCTTTAGGGAATTCTCACATTCCTCAAAAATAAATATAGTATTTGTTTAGATTATCAACAATTAATTGGGTTGTAAGTAAACCAATGTACTTGATGGACAACTCAAATTAGGCCCGATTAATCCTCATTCAAGTTAGTAATTAAACTCGTTTAAACACTTCTTAAATGCTTGAAGATTAAATAAATCAAACATGAACACGATCAAACTTGTTTATCTATGTTTATAAACAAACTCGTTTATTTTCTAACAAATATCTTATTAAATGCTTGACATTAACCTTGATGATAGCTTGTATATTCTTTAAAAAGATTTTGGTTAAATATAACTTTTAATTATATACTTAATAGTAATATATCATAATTTAGTTGTATTAATATTTTAAGAATAATTATTAATTGCATATTTATTATATTAATATATACTTATTTACCATATTTTAGTAATATAAGTTTTATCAATTAATATTAATCAATTTCTATTTTCTATGAACACTTCTTTATTTATTAACCTATCTTTTGCCCATCTGCCTCATCAATCAGCATGTCTTTTCTCCTCTTAATAACACCCAAAATCTCAAAACCCTTCCGTAGCTACCAAATTTGCAAGAAAAATTGACATGAGCTTCTTCGAGTATAGCTAGGAGAAGAAATCATTGAGAGTTTAGTTGAGCTTTATCTAACAGATGCATCTGAAGAAATTTCAAAGCCCTTAAATCCCATTAATCCAAAAACTTCATGGATTTCACAAAACTAGCATAAGAATTACCACATAGTTGCTTTCATTATCAATTTTGATATTCTTGTGTTGTGGATAGATCAATATGTATTTGCTTTGCTAAATTATTTTTTCAGAAAGTTAATTGATCTTTTATTATTATTATTATTATTATTATTATTATTGAGTTCTAAAGTTAATTGATCATTGTAGTATTTGTTAAGATGATCTTAGGCATTGTTTGGATGCTGAGAAGTCAAAGTGAAAAGAAAATATATTTGTAGCTCGCAACTTCTATATTATCTTATTTAATTGGTATAAAGTAATTATATACTATTTCTAAATTTATTCAATTGCTTTTTTGCTTAGATTTATAAAATTATTTGATAATAATTTAATATGGTAGGCCAAGTACTCATTATTTTTAGCTTGTTCAAGTACTTGTTCAACTAATTTACATAAACCAAGTACAAGCCAAGTACGATCATTGAAATTTTTAAACAAGCTAAGTATGAACATACATGTGAAAACTTGGCATGAACTCAAACTGAACATGAATATCTTATAATATGACCAAGTCAAGCCTAATTCAAGACATCCTTGGGTTAGCTTGGCTCGATTATAGCTCTAATAACTAATCAAAGTGATATTCGTAAGAATGCAAAACTTAGGATTGCATGTTTATAATGCTATCAATAAATTCATATTTCTAGAATTTATACAATTAAGTTTCTAAATTTTTAATGATTGTTTTAGGCAAACATAATTATCTTTAAAATTAGTCGGGGAACTATTGTGGAAAATAAATTGTCAATGCTAATTTGAATATTATAGACTTTTTATCTTGAAAGAAAAAATAGAACAACAACTTTCTCACAACTATCATATCCTAGTAGATCAAGATTATGAAAGGACAATTATCACCACATAAATTTTTTATAACGTGCAATTCTCTAAAATATAACCATGAAAAAGAAATCTCAAATGCATTTCAAATATATTTACCCTAAACATTATGATCATCCTCTACAGTTTTTGAGAATATCTTATTTGTTTAAGTTACATGACTCTTTCTTATATCTGACACTTGACTTATCTTTAATTTCCAGCATCGAATATAACGTTTCCTATGTTTACCATGCTATGTTCGCCTACTTCGACCGGGACAATGTTGCGCTTAGAGGCATGGCCAAGTAAAAAGCTCACAAATTCTTCTTCCAACTCTTTTCTTCTCTTTCCTTCTTATTCTAAGTTTGTTTTATAACTATTCATGGGATTTTTCATTAGATTCTTCAAGGAATCAAGCGAGGAGGAAAGAGACCATGCTGAAAAGTTGATGAAGTATCAGGTAACTTTTGAATATCTTGTGCTCTTTTTTTCAAGAAAATAATCAAAATGGTCCATTTACTTTTTAAAAATGACCAAAATGATTCCTAACTATATTAAAGGGATCATTTTGATCCCTAAATTTTTTAAAGAGGAACCAAAATAGTTTTGGTGGAACTATTTTGATTTCTCTTAATTGAGTTGATATATCAAAATAATTTTTTAATATAGTTGATGATCATTTTGATTTTCCTTGAAAAGTTAAGGAATCATTTTGTTCATTTTATCTTTTTTTTTTTTTTCAATGAAAGAAGCAAACTTTGGCCACAAAGATCTTAAGCTATTCTTGATACAGAACAAACGCGGAGGTAGAGTAAAACTCCAGTCTATTCTGATGCCCTTAACTGAGTTTCATCACGAGGAGAAAGGCGATGCTCTATATGGTAAGATTTACATCTTATAAGGTTAAGCTTTAAATTAAATTATAAGATTAATTAGTAATCTCTTAACTAGGATGATATTTACTACTTATCTGCCTTTCTGTAGCAATGGAACTGGCCTTATCTCTCGAGAGGCTCGTAAATGAGAAGCTCCTTAATTTACATAGCGTGAGAATGCTTATTCATTTTCCTTTAACGATAATTTAAATTCAAAGTATTACAAAATGATGCGGAGTCTATGATACACAGGTAGCAGCACGCTCAAATGATCCTAATATGACAGAGTTCATTGAAAGCCATTTCCTTGCAGAGCAGGTGAATAAACCTTGTCTTACATTTTCTTAAATTATATTTACTTATTTAGAACTCGCAGAAATTATTTACCAGAAGTCTCTTACATAAACGTACCTAACAACCAAAATTACCGATATCTGCATTAACAGTCATGTATTCTTTTCTTCAATTTTCTGTGTTATTGTGGTGATCTTTGTCAGTGAAATCTTTTGTTCACACGTCATTAGCACTGCTTAAGCTAAACTGATCCATTGTATTAGTTTAACATTTCCTCTTCTATATATATCTCTTCACCTGTACAGATATTTGATATGAATACAATTCTATAATCCTTTCTCTTTCTATTTTCTGTCTGCTCTCCGCTTCTTGTTTCACCAGTTGTGGTCGTTCATGGTATTAGAGCTCGCTCATGGCAGATCTCGGCAGCTTCCCACCCACCCAACTCCGCTCTCTCGACTCCCTTCTCCGACTTCACCATCCCGGTACCTCTCAAATTCTTGATCTCCAACCTCAAGAGCCTGATTCCAACACAACTTACCGACGACACCTACGCCATATGGAGCCTTCAACTCCTGCAACATTTCACAGACAACGGGTTTGTTAGATATCTCACCGGTGATACTCCCTGTCCTACCGAATCAACCATCCCGATTTCAAACGGTGGCATTTAATCGATCGAAATCTCATCTCCGCCCTTCTATCTACCATCTCTCCCTCGATCTTTCCTTACATGCTTTCATCTTCGACGGCTCATGACGTCCGGTCTGTTCTTTAAAGACGCTTCAACCGACAAGCCGTTATTTAAAGACGGCTTCAACTGACAAGTCGATCTCACGTCATTCAACTTAAACATGAACTCCATCAAATTCAAATGCGGGCCGATCCATGCAACAATATCTTGCTCAAATCAAAGAGCAAATCAAAATTCTTGTAGATAACAATCCTGAATATAACTAAAAGCTGTTTATAAGGTTTCTGCTGTAAATAATATTATCTATTTATTAGCATGCTAAATTGTTCTTCCTGTTTATATGTTTTTTTAATCAGGTTGAGGCCATAAAGAAGATATCTGAGTATGTTGCTCAGCTGAGAAGGGTGGGCAAGGGGCATGGAGTTTGGCACTTTGATCAGGTTTTGTTGCACGGGGAAGAGAATGGCGCTGCTTGAGCAAGTTAGGAAAAGCTCGTTTTATTTTCTTAAATAGTTTGGCTTAGTGGGTTTTCTCTGTAGTTTAGGGTATTCCTGTTTTCTTAGATGTTGTTAATCGACAAGTTATCATGTCTTTTCTCTGATGCTGTTAATAAGCAAACTATCATGTCATGTTATGATCTAATAGTTTTTGTTTGATGGGTATTAATTAGATGAATATTATAAGCAATATATTTCTAATTAAATATTATGTATTGTACTTTCTTGTTTAGCTGGCAGTATCTGTTTGGCTTACCCAAGCCCTTCTCTCTATATATACTCTGTACTAGGCTGTAATAGATATCACAGAAATAATACTTTCCATTCTCGTTTTCCTGATTCTTTCCTGTCTTCTTGTTTCCGGTTCTGCATTCCTGTTTCTTTATGGTATCAGAGCAGGTCGTCAAGGACGAGCTCTTCGACTTTGGGAAACTCTGAAGGATCGCGCACAGAGAATCAAGAAGAACCGCAGATCTCCTCGTCTCTGAAATTTGTTGTGACGAACTTAAAAAACATAGCTCCAATCCATATGGAGTTGGAAAACTACGCTATTTGGAAACTGCAAATCCTTAAAATTCACTCATGGATTCCATCGGTTCCTGGACTCTTTCATCTCACCTCCAGCTAAGTCTATCTCTCAAGCAAATGGATCTTCCATAAACAATCCCTCCTTCACCCAATAGCATCTTACAGACAAAATCCTCGCTGCTGCTCTTTGTTCTACCATATTCGCCTCCATCATGCCTTATATTGTAAATCTTGAATCAACCGCTGAAATCTAGACTGTTCTTGAAACCTGTTTTCAATCCTCAAATCGATCTAAAGTCATACAATTCAAGAACACTCTCCATAATATCTCTCAAAAATCTCATCATGACTCAATATCTTGCTGAGATTAAATTTCTTGTTGTGATCAGATTGCAGCTGCCGGATCCACGGTAGACACATAAGATGTTATTTATTTACATCTTAAATGGTCTTCCCATTTCCTATCAGTCTTTCAAAACTGTCATAAGAACCATGCTCACCCCTATATCTCTGGATCAACTCTACCCCATTCTGCCAAGTGAAGAGATCAATCTTCCTTCTGCTAAGTGAAGAGATTAATCTTGCATCGGACGCCGTTTGTAACAACACTACTCCCGATCCTGCTCTCACTCTATATGCTAACCGTGGAAAAGTCAGCAAGAATAAGAGCACATCTGATGATGGGGAAGCCTTATGACTTTCAATTTGAAGAAAAGTCAGTGTTGGTGCTCTTTGCTATCCTTTAATGCTTGTTGTTAATTTGTTTCAACCCTTTTGTTTGGTTCAGAAGAAAGTTAAGTGGTTTTTTTTTTTCCTTTTTTCCTGCGTTATAAGAATAAATGAAGTGTGAATAAAGCATTAGCCTTAGGTCTTGATTGGAATGGATTTTTTACTGCTTTTTAAACCTTTTTTTAGTCTAAAATATTTTAAGTTAGAATTTAGACTTCGTTCCAAATGGTATTTTTTTTTACTCTTAAAAGTAATTTTTTAGTAAAAAAAAATTGTACTAAGCAATAAAAAAATAGTTCCAAAAAACCTTAAAAAACTTTAAGAAAGCCGCCTCAAATGTTTTGCTCATTTTTTCTTAGTATAAGTGCTACACAGTTCACCTTGGCTTATTGGTTGAGAGCTTATGCTTCCAACTAAGAGGTCTTGGATTCGAGTCTTTGTGTATGCGTTCTGTGTATGAGTTTGCCTTAAATGACCTAAATGTCCCAAAAAAAAAAGTATAAGTGCTGAATGCTTTACTGTCAGCATGTATAGCAGAACCAGGAAAGTGCCCAATTACAGAATGTACAGAATGTAAAGAATATAGTGTAAATAAAATGATACGTGAACGAATAAGCTTTTCTGAAGGGTGGTAAAAATTATTTACTGTTTTACACTATATGAATGTATATGAATGTAAAAATTTATACAAGCCAGAATGAATCTATATATGCTTAATAGTCAACAGCCTTTCCTTAAGAGGAAGGTCTACATATACATCATACATATTATATTATACAGTGGGAGTTGGAAGAATCAATGTTGACATGTTTGTTTGGGGCGGCAAAATCATAGTCGGCGAGCGACATAGGTCAAAAGAACCGTAGTATGGTGACGGAGGTCGGAAGGATCGTAGTCGGTGGACGACGGAGGTCCGAAAGACATTAGTCGGCGGATGACGGAGGTCCAAAAGACAGTAGTCAGCGGGTGATGGGGGCCACAAGGATCATTGTTGGCTGATGACAGAGGTCAAAAGGACCGTAGTCGATGGGCGACACAAGTCGGGAGAACTGTAGTCGGTGAGCATGAAGGTCGGGAGGACCATAGTCGGCATCGATTGTAGTCGGCATGAGACAGAGGTCTGAAGGATAATAGTCGGAGGGAAGTGTAGTCGGCAGGCGACGTAGGTCTGAAAAACAGTAGTCGGCGGACGAGGTAGGTCCGAAAGATAGTAGTTGGCGGGCGACGGGGGTCCAATGATCATTTTTGGCAGACTACAGAGATTAGAAGGACTGTAGTTGACGGGCTGGCAAAAATCCTGTGATGTTCGGCGGACTGGCGGAAGTTCGACAGTGGTCAGCGGACGAGCGGAAGTCTGGTGACGATCGAAGAACTTGTGGAAGTCCGTCGACGATTGGCTTTCGAGCGAAAGTTCGGCGGCAGTCAATAAATTGGTGGAAGTCCGACGGCGGTAGACGGACTAGCAGAAGTCCGTCGATGGTTGGGAAGAATTCTGGCGGTGGTCGGGAGGAACTCCGATGGTGGTCGGGAACAACTCCGGTGGTGGTTGGCATGAACTTCAACGGTGGTCAGGAGGAACCCAGGTGGTGGTCGAGAAAAACTCTGGCGGTGATCAACGAACAAGCAGAAGTCCGGCAATAGTCTGCAGGAACCCCGGCGGTGGCCGACAGGAACCCCGGTAGTGGTCGGCAGGAACTCCGGCGGTGGTCAATGGCAAGAGACCTCCCAAATTCCTCCCTTCCTTCTCTTCCTCTCCTCCCTCTTCATGTGAAGAATGAGGACCTATTTATAGTTTTTTGAGAGTGGCATGACTTGTAAATATGTGGAGGATTAAGCTCAAAATGGAAGTGTTTGAATGGACGGCCGATATTGATCCCCTTAATCATGGACAATTTATTGGTCAATTGAAAGCCTTAATGATATCGAAATTCAGTGATCTTGGGCTCGTTGGACCATTTGGGCTCTTGATTTGGACCCATTTGGCCTCGGATTGAGTCGAATTTATGGGTTCATCTTTTTGAGACGTTCAATTTGACGACTATATGTTTGTTGAAAACATAGTTCATATAGTCTTTGGTTTAATTTTGGAAGCTTTCAACTCAATTTTGCTTTGAGATTCGAGCTGATCAACATAATTTTTAACAGATATATCAATTATTTTTTAAAAACTAAAAATTAAATTAGTAGTGTGTGGTAGCCACATGCGCTTGCCGCTAGGCCTGCACGTCATCGTCTTGTAAGAAATTTTAGCTCTAACGGCGCCGTCGTCTTTGCACGTTTTCTATTGACCTTTGATGAGGAAATTTCCAAAAAAAAAAAAAAAAACTTTGTGGAGAAATTTTTTCTTAGCATATTCTCATATATAAATATTTATATATTTCTACTAATATTTATTTTAAATTTTATGTATCAGATATTTTTTTTAATAATTAAATTGTGAAAATTGTATTTGTATAATAATTTAATTAAATTAGAAGTACATGATAGTTAAATTGTATTTTTTAATAATTTAATTATATTTTTAAATATTTTTTTATTCAAGAATAATATGCCAGTGCAAAATTGAAGATACATATAATGATAAAATACTTTCATTCTATCATAAAACATATCAGAATTTTGAGAATTTGTTTCCTACCTAAAGCCATATGTTTCTTTATGGATGATTTTTTTTATTAGGATGATAATAATAATAATAATAATTGATACGTCATCAAAATATCTTAATCAAGCATTAATCTCGATGCATATCCAAGTTAGAAACTTTCAAAATTAAATTTGGGATCATCCAAACTATGATTTCAACAAACTTATAATAAAATTGAACATCTCAAGGACAAACCCAAGGACACCAAGATTTGTCCAATCCAAGCCCATATGGGTCCATATTAAGGGGCCGAAGCATATTTGAAAAGTTCTAGCATTAATCGACTACCAAAATGATCTCTAAATATGGCATGCTTATAGTCAAATCGAGCAGCTCGGTGAAATGAATCCAAGCTCAAGATCGCTTATTTCCGACATCATTAAGGCAATTAAATACTTGAAAAATGATTCATAATCGTGTCAATCAATATGGACCATATAATAGAGCACTTCAAACATGTAATGAATCTTCTCCATAGTATAGGATATGCCACTCACAAAACTCTATAAATTATTTTCTAATGAAATTTGAGACTCATCAATCATCATAGTTAATCGGTCATAGTTTGTTTCTTGCATCGCTCATATCCGATTGCAGCACCCCCACATTAACACATGTTTGCCCTTTTTATATTTTATTTTTAACCCCCTTAAATCTCTTGGTTGTGTTGATCTCGCCTTTTGATGTGACCATGCCAGCTGATCAACCTCCTTGGTATTGATTGACCTCGATCAACAAGCAATGTACAACCACCAACTTCGGCAAACCCGTTGAACAACACACTTAGCACTACTAGTCATTATCTGTTGTTATCATCGTTCATATTTGTGCCCTACTTTTCACCAGCATTATTAGGTAAGAATATGATGATCCAAAAATTTCCCCTAAAAACGCATGATCATTTTTAATGAGGGTTTAGAAATTGATGCAATAAATGTGATCAAATCAACATATACAGAAAAATGCTCCACAAACGAAGCTTTCAAGCCACCAAAAGAGCTCAACCAACCAACAGGGACTCAAAATGGCAAATCCATAGCTGTTATAAATGACCAACATAGGAATCAATTCGCTTGACGAGCCTGTCATCCACGAGAAACCATTGGAAAAACTAATTCATCATCATCACAATAACCAACCTCCAAAACTATTAAAAGAAAAATCACATTAAAAAAATGTGTATGATCCCCCTTAGCTTTAGCACATAAAATATAATTAAGAGGAGCATTCAAATTCCTTTTACAAAGAATATATGCAATTTCCAAACCTTTCAAGACAACCATCTATGTATAACAAGAAAATCTCAAAGCATATCTTTTATGTCAAATAAAATATCATCGTTCCACTTTAGCCCACTTTTTTTTTTTTCATTTTGGGACTTTAGTGGATTCGAGCGTGGGGTGAGAGAGGAGGTAGAGCCTCCGTCGACCATCTGGCCGCTAACCCGATCTCACTTTAGTTAAACCATCATAAAATACATCCTAAAATATTTTAAAAGAAAAATGAGATACCCATTGCAAGAAATGAAAGAAACATTATGAAGAATCTTCCGACCATCAGCATTTAACCAAACACTTACTGCAGCATGATTAAAGGCTTCCTTACGTTAATAAATAACTAAAAAAATAATCTAGTTGCGTGTGGTAGCCACGCACGCTTGGCCTGCATCCACCCACGTGTCACGTCATGTCTTGTAGGAAATTTTAGCACTCAACGGCGCTGTCGTCTTCGCTGTTTTCTATTGAGTTTATGGAGAAATTTTTTATTAGCATATTCTCATATATATTTCTATTATATTTATTTAATTTTATGTATCTGGAGTTATTTTTAATATAATTCAAATTGTTAAATTTGTGTTAGTAAAATAATTTAATTAAGGTATGGTTTGAGCGGCTTTATTAACCTTTTCTAAAATAAATTTTTAGCACAAAAAATTTTTGTATGAAAAATCTGCTTTAAAGATATAATAAAAAAGCAATTCTAATAAAGTCTAAATTAGAAGTATATGATAATTTAATTGTATGATTTAATTATTTAATTATATTTTAAATATTTTTTATTTAAAAATATATATGAAAGGGTGAAATCAAAGATACATGTTATAATAGAATATTTTCATTCTATCATAAAACATATCAAGTATTCTAAGAATTTCTTTCCCACCTAAAGCCATATGATTCTTTGTGGATGTTCATTTTTATTCGAGTAATAATAATAATAATAATAATTGTTGCGGACTAGAAAATACGCGGCGATAGAGATTTAATTCTGCGTCTTAACGTTGTACGTATAACTAGCTCACACACAGAGAACACAAGATTTTTTACGTGGAAAACCCTTAAGTGATGATGTATCAATAATAATAATAATTGATGAATCATCAAAAATTGCCTTGATTGGGCATGAATACCGAGGCATATCTCCATAAAAAAATTAAATTTTGGATCATCTAAACTCTCACTTCAACAAACTTATAGTCAAATTGAACATATTAAGGAGGCGAACCCAAAGATATCGAAATCGGTCCGACCAGAGCCCAAATTGGCCCAAATCAAGGGACCGAAGCATGTTTGGAAGACTCAAAACATTAATTGGATGACCAAATGATCTCTAAATATGGCATGCTTATAGTCGAATCAAGTGGCTCAATTAGATGAATCCAAAGAGCCCATGAATGCTTAATCACAACATCATTAAGACGCTTAAATATTTGAAAAATGCTTTTACAATTGGATGAATGAAAATGGGTCATCCGATCAAACATGTCCTCGATCTTCTCCATATTCATGGGGTGCACCACTTATAAAAATCTATAAATAGACTCTCACTCTCTACATAAGAGAGACATTTGGCTAGAGATTGGAGAGAATTATGAGGCTTCAAGAGCTTCATCAACCGTCGTCGGCGAACCTCTGTCAACCGTCGTCGGGCCACCACCTGGCCGCCGACCCCTACCAGACTTCCATCCAACCATCATTGTAGTGAGATAATAACTATAAATATATTGAATGTCAAGTTCATTTAGAACTATAAATGAGTTATTAATTTATTAGATACTTTTTTCTTTATGAATTTATTGATTAACTCTTTTAAGTACTTGTTCAATTTATTTTGACATACAAGTTTGAACATAAATGATATAAAACAAGTCAAATATGAATATATATGTCAAATCTCAACTCAAGCTCCTGTCAAATTTGAACAACTTGTACTATGACAGCTGAATCTAATCCATAATATGCTCGACACAATTTCGGTCGACTGGATTGCGATCCATAATATGCTCGACAACCCCCTGAGGCCCGGACATCTGTTGGACCACCACCTAAGGCTCGGACTTCCGCCGGACCACCACTTGAGGTCCAGAGTTCCGCCGGACCACCGCTTGAGGCCCTGAGTTCCGCCATACCACCACTTAAAGCCCTGGGCTTCGTCAGACTACCACTTGAGGCCCTGAGTTCCACCGGACCATCACTTAAGGCCATGAGCTCTACTGGAGTACCACATGACACCCAGAGTTCTGTCGAACCATCACCTGAGGTACGGACTTCTGCCATACGACCACCTGAGGCCAGAACTTCTACTGGATCACCACCTGAGGCCTAGACTTCTACTGGTTGACGCCCAGAGTTATGCCATACCACCACCTGATGCCCGAACTTCTGCCATACCACCACTTGAGGCCCCGAGTTCAGGTTGGACCACCACTTGAGGCCCTAAGTTCTGCCAGATCACCACTTAAGGTCCCGAGTTCCGCCAGACCACCACTTGAGGTCCTGAATTATGTCGGACCACCACTTGAGACCTTGAGCTCCACTAGACCACCACCTGAAGCTCAGACTTCTACTGGGTCACCACCTGACGCCCAGAGTTCTACCTTACTACTACAATCTTTTTGACCCCAATCTCCTGCTGACTATGATCCTTCCGATCTCTGTCGCCTACTACGGTCCTTCTGACCTTCATCGTCATACATCAATCTTTCTGACCTTTGTCTCCTGCCTACTATAGTCCTTCTGACTTCCATCACCTATTACGGTCCTTCCGAACTCCATCGCCATACAATGGCTTTCTACCCACAGTCTCATACCGACTATATGGTCCTTCTAACATCCGTCCCCTACTACGGTCCTTCCGACCTTCATCGCCATACAATGATCTTTTTTACCCTAGTCTTTTGACGACTATGGTCCTTCCAAGCTACCTCGCCAAACAATGGTATTTTTTACCCCTGTCTCCTGCCAACTACGATCCTTTCGACCTCCGTCATCTACTACAGTCTTTCAAACCTTTATCCTATCAACTATGGTCCTGCCGATGCAACAAGTACTATTGCTCTTAACATTTTTTTTTATTTTTACTCACCACTTAAATAAAATGATATGCTTCATGCATTCAATTTACAATTAAATATTTTAATTTATACCTTTTACATTCCTTTTTTTTTTTTACTTTATAAACCAAACAAATACCCAAATCTAAAAATTTTCAATAAATACATCATAACTTTTCACAAAATTACAAAACAACACATAGCACCTCCACAAAAAACGGACCATACCTTATCGCGACTTAGCGCTGATTAGCAACAGTTTACCCCGATGGTTACTTTAATGTATACTTTTCAGAACGGCCAAAAAATGCCAGGCTAGAAATTGGATTTATTCGAATTATTATTACTTTTTATGAGATATTCTTGAAGAGGGAAATTTCTGTGAAAATCAATTATACATATTTCTGTAACTAATCAACTAGAGTCGTGAAAATATCCACGAGATTCGCGCAAGTAAGTCGCTCAAGATACCGCTGGAATCATGAAGGAGATCCAACGGTTATCAATTATTTCTTTAGAATCCCTATAACCCACTGTGAATTGGATTTCGCTTTTTGTTTCGCTGACCTCCTTCAATCCGCTGGCTGGCCAGCAGTGCACAAGTACACGAGCCCTCCACGCGCTCGTTCATCGAATGAATACCAACTCTACACGTGTCACAATCGCAGTCGTCTGTATCACCGAGAAAAACCTTTCTGCTTCGCCCTTCTTTCTTCCTCTATATCAACCTTCGCCTCTGCCACTCATTCATCTCACCGATTCTCGCTTCTTCTTCTACTTTCCCAGTTTTCTCTTTCACTTTTCGTGAAGATGCTTCACCAGGTTACCTCCGCTCTTTCCCTTAACTTTTCCTCATCTCAGGCGTCGGCGCCGGCAACTTTTCTCCGCCGGCGGCCGCCGGCGGCTGGCGTCCTGAGGATTCCCATGGCGAAGGGGTCAGCAGGAAGAGTAGTGGCTGCTACCGGAGACGAGCGTAGCGGGGCTTTGACCGGATTTCTGTTCGAGCCCTTCGAGGAGGTGCAGCATGAGCTCGCGCTCGTGCCCTCTTCGCCTGATAAGTCGCTCGCCCGTCAGAAGTACGTCGATGAATGCGAAGCTGCGATCAACGAGCAGATTAAGTGAGATATTCTTAATCCTCTGTTTTTTTTTCTTTGATTAGTTGTTTTGACGAGTCGAAGTGATTCTTTATTTGTTTTAAGTTTCAATCCACACCCCTTTCTCTTTATTTAAATATGATTTTTTAGGCTTTTTCAGGCTATTTTTCTGTTATCATACGATGTCTTTTTTATCATTGATTCGATCTCTTTAGTTATGAATGATAGATCGTTCAAGGCTCATCTATATATTGAGTTTTTTTTGTTTTTTTCCTTTGGATATTTTGTTCTCAGGTGCTTCCATGGTAGACCTATGTTACTTTTTCTGTGGGTAGATTGTTATATTGCTTTACACTAAACTACGCTTAATTATTTTTTATTTTAATTGAAGTTTTACTATAATACCAGCAAAATATATACATTAAGCTATGCCATCATACAACTAGGGGCTGCTAGTTTTGAATTAAAAAGCGTGTAAAGTGTTTCAAATGCTGTGGTTTTGAAAATATTGATATTGGTTTAAAGAAAAAAATAGCATACTAATATTATAAAGTATTTAGCACTTTGTCCTGCATAACACTTAGTCTCCATCTTCCGGCTGGTGTATTGCTCTGATACCATTTGTAATAGCTCAAACTCTTAACTATATAGATATTGTCTACTTTTGCCTAAGAGCCTCATGGTTTTGCCGTGTTGGTATAACTTCCCAGTATGTCACCCATTTCAGAATTGCTCCGGGATGAACATGCTTAACTGCGGAGTTTCTTAACAAAATTACTTTCATTACACCAAAATGCACCTCGATGTTTAAGAGTTTAGCTTCTTTTACTTGAGAGGTTTCACAAGCCTGCCTAAAATTTAAACCCTGGTAAAAAAGCATTGCCCTTATTCACTCGGCCATAGAGACAAAACAACATAAAAAAGTTTTTTTTTTTTAATTTGTATTATAACTTAGCTTGCAGCGGATTTGCGGCAGCAATTTTTGCCATAACTCTGTCCAAAAAAATCATTGAAATTTTTTGTTGCCATTTTTGACAAAAAATAATCCGCCGTAAATTCATCACAAACTGCTAACTTTCTTATGGTGTTAGCAATGCCACGTAGGGCTGTCAATTCGTGTCGGCGGGTCATGTTTGGGTCAGAACCGAATTTGACCCGACTGTATCTAACCCGACCCGGACACGAACTGAAACAAGTATCAGGCCAATTCTTTGGACCCGAACCTGACCCGAATCGGGTTCGGGTCAACACGATAAGACACGAAATTTTGAAAATAGCGGGTTCCGGTCACCAAGTAGCGGCAGCACAACGGCGACACAGCCGCAGGCGGCAACAGCGGAAGCAACAGCACAGCAGTGGCAGCACGGCATAGCTGCAGCGCCAGTCGGTCTCGGCGGCGTGGTAGCAGCGGCACAGCAACAGGCGGTAACGGCTGCAGCACGCAAACGTCGAGACTCATGTTTTGCGAAGCGACGCAGCGCCAGTCGCCAGAGAGAGACTGCCAGTGACATGATTGGGACTGCGACTCGACGCATCGAGTCATTTCGCGGGCAAGGCGGGCACACTGGGCAACAGAAACGGGCATACTCATTTTCAGGTCATTTCCAGTCATTATCGGGTTTCTTAGTCAACCCGAACCAGACCCGTTTGCTAACCGGGTCGACCCAAACCCGGATTTTTCCGTGTCGGGTTTGGGTCGTGTCAAAAATTGATATTTACACTTTGACCATTCTCCAAAAAAAATGAGAATGACAATGAGAAGAAATCGTTGGAGAATGTTGTGATGGGACATCAAGACTTGAATGGGAGAACATATTGAAGAGATTATATAAGGCATCAATGGGTCATTGGTTGGAGTTTGCTGTAGAAGGCATTAAAGGGTTTGGCGAAAGCTGGGACTTGATGTCTTCGTTGAAGAAGGCATCTATGGGTCTAAAGGAAATTGTGTCAATAGTTCACTGTAGAAGGCATAAATGAGTCTAACAATGTTTTGAGAAGAAAGGGAGTGCATGAAACTGATAGCAAATGAGGTTAACCAATATAAAAGAAAATTTTGAATTTAAAGTTTTTAATTGAGCTAATGAGTAAAGTAAGATCAAGGTTGACTTTATATTATACATTATTGCCTCAAGCTCACGGGTCAAATAAGCTTGACTCGTGAGCTCGTCAGTGAGTTGAGTTTGACACGGCTCATAAGGCAACTTCGCTCGATTACACCCCTTATATACACATAAGCATGAAAAAATATGGGCGAGCATGTCACCAATTTATGGTAAGGATGTGTCTTGTAGCTATTAAATTATTTTTTAGAAGAATGCAATATATGAACTTGAAGGTTTGGCGCACTTTTAATTTGAACCTTATTACTTTAGTTTGATCTTTATTTTATGGGCCCTATTAAATCTAAATGTGTAGAGGATTCATTACATGATTAAGGTGATCCAAAATTGATTTTTTTGGCCTAATAGTTCTTACATTAGCTAGCCACAATAAAGCCATGAGTTCTTTTGGTACTCTTTATGTTAGTTTTGTATAGAACCTGATTGTGTCTATCAATTTGGTTGTATTATTGACTCGGGCCTTAATTATATTAGTCGAGCTTGTCGAGATTTTGTAGGGACGCCTCCCCTTATTTGGGTTTGGGGACCTTGCCCCGAATTTTTTTCCATACTGTCGTATAACACAACGATGTTGAATACTCAAGTGTTATGACATTGTAGTCACTGGTTGGTGACAAAGAGCAAAGCACCGTAATGTTGTACGTTGCAGCACCACGATACTACAAGAATGGCTCAAAGATAAAGAGTAGAGCATTGTGGCGCTCCAAAATCCAACACTGCTGTGATGGCCCCAAGACTTAAATTAGAAGAATTATATATTTTATGTCTTCTAATTAATCTATTAGAGCTATTAATTTCACTTTATTTGACTAAACCAACAAAAATATCAATATCAAATAATCTGCTAACATATACATTACTAATCAAAATCTATTTACAATAACTAGAAGTTAAACATATAAATCCCTTAATTACAACCCTTATGGTTATAAATAAATAACATAAAATACATAATGATAAACTAAACATACAAATTTAACTATGATCAATCTCACTCGGTTGGTCCTCTTCCTAAATTTAAAATCAATCAAATTCATGTAATGAACTTACAAAGTCTAACAATCAATCAAAACTATCAAAACTTCCAATACAAGGTAATAATATCAATATGCATGCACATCTCAATCAGTATAAAATCAATAGTATTGATATGAATCAACAATCAATATCAGTATATTAATATAAATCAATATGATCAGTAAAATAAATATATCTCAAGAAATATAGGAATCTATTAATAGATAAGAAAATTAATAAAAGTTCATAAAACAATGTCAGGTGCGGTACAATAAAATATATTCTGATTATCCATCAATTATATTTATGCCAAAGATTTTATCATATGCTTTTTATCAATGATATGTCATGTTTACCTATCTATCAATATACCATATCAGTGTACTATATAAAAATGTCTATCAATGTCTATAAGTATCAATATGTCTATCAATGTCTCTAAATATATTTGTTATATGATGTCATATTTTATTAGTTTTAATACTAGTTCAATCAATTCTATATCAGTTTAATCTATCAATCAGTTCATGCACTATCATGTAAATGTAATCATGAATGTAATTATAAATAACAATATAGGGCATCTAATTTTTATATAAAGTTTTCAACATCTTTAACCCTAGTTGTTTCACATTTAGTCATCAGTCTTCATCTAAGCCATCATTAGTTATGAATCTTAAATCAATTAACATGTGGCTTTCAATAAATCATTAAGAGTCATCACACTCTACCCGTCGACATAGTTAAGTCAAACAATTATAGGCTAATATTCAGGATTATACCATAAACTTTTTATTTAAAAGTCTGTCGCTCTACCCTCATGTATAGTTATTACATTTTAATAGCTAACTTATATTAATTATCTTATTTATACTAAGCCTTCCTTTCTTACATGTAAATACGTACCTCATCCGTCATATATTAGTTGTATCGTTTTCTCAATGCAGCATAATATCATCCATAAAATGCTATAAAGTGCCTAACAATTTATATATCATTTATTAGCTTCAGAAAATAATAACTATTAATTTACCCATTAAAATTCAATAATATTACAATCATAATACTCATAAGAATTATATATATCATATACAAAAAGTTATACGGTAAATGTACAGTAAATCAGAAGAAAAATACACTTTTATTAATTTGGGAAGATTAAATTCTTGAAACACTAAACCTCTGAAAACAAAGTTAGGATTCGGATTACCTACCTCGATTAGAAGAAATTTCAGAACATAATTGACGGGCAAAAATTACTCAAATGGCTTCTTCTATCTTCTTTATCTTCTCCCCCTCTCCTCTCTTTCTCTCTTCTTCCTTCCCCAACAAGCAGATGGAATGGGGATGGGTGAGATGGTGGTGGAGAAATTTATATCAACATATGTTTTTCAGTGCCCAACACCATTGTATCTAGTGTCACATCATTGCATGCTGCTCTCAGAGTTACTGTAGAACAGAGAGCTCAGCATCGTGACGGAGCTTTCCCGGTGCCTTTGCACTATCATGCATACGCCGAATCACTCCAACCCATATTTTCATAATTTTCTTTTAAAATTATTTTCATAAATTTCATGTTATTACACCTGCGGCACTTCAAATCGGGCTGGACAATTTAAATTCTCATTTTTCATGTTTAACATGAAGGGTTGTGTCCCTTAGATTAACTTAAGTGTGCATCTTTGTCTATTCTATGAAGAGAATGAAGAGTTGAGTAAAGTGTGATAAAGAGAGAGCGAGAGAGAAATAGATCTATACAATTTCTCTCAACTTTCATAATAAATTTCTTGGTGTGATGTGGCTCCTTGGATTTTTTTTTTTTTTTCTGATTTCTGGTTTTTCCACGTTAAATCCTAGTAATTATTTCCACTGTTTTCTTTTCTTGTTTGTTTTATCGAGTGATTCACTTCCCAACATTGATATTGTTGATCTGTTGCTCCTTTTTCGAAAAAATACCTTAGTCATCCATTCCATTTGACTCTATTTACTGATTTTTCTGAAAATTTATAATTATCGTGTCCTCACTTTATAAAATATAATTTTGGATAAATTGCTATCCTTAAAAATGAATTAAGGTGGACATAGGGTTTTATTTTTCTAAAGAATTTAACACAATATTCTGTTTAGATTGATAACAACTCACAAGTGGCATATTTGTAAGATTGAAAGATTGGGATCGTATACCAGTAGTATTAAAAGCTAGATCGTATATTAATATATTCCTGTTTTTTTGTCCGCTTTACCCTGTAGGCTATCCGCAACATTTCACGATTTTGGAGCTGACCTGATTTGTTTTACCTTCAACCTTCCTTATATCTGATACATATATCTTATTTTCAATTTTCAGCGTCGAATACAACGTTTCGTACGTTTACCATGCTATGTTTGCGTATTTCGACCGGGACAATGTTGCTCTCAGAGGCATGGCCAAGTAAGCAAAAGCTCACAAATCCATCTTTTTACTCTTTTCTTCTTTGTTATTATCTATTGAAGAGTTTTGGTTGGTTAGGTTCTTTAAGGAATCGAGCGAGGAGGAGAGAGAACATGCTGAGAAGTTGATGAAGTATCAGGTGACTTGTGAATCTCTAAAATGCCACTTTTTCATTAAAGGGACAACTTTGACCACTAATATCTTATGCTATGCTTGTTACAGAACAAGCGTGGAGGTAGAGTAAAGCTCCAGTCTATTCTGCTGCCCTTAACTGAGTTCAATCATGAGGAGAAAGGCGATGCTCTTTATGGTAATATATATTTTCTTTTTTCATGAGAAATACTCATTTTCATGTTTTATGAGAGTGATTTTGATTAAAATTATTTTCTTTTTTTAATTTTCCATTTAATCGAGAGATTTTATTTGTTTTTAATTATGCTGTAAGAGTTGATGATATCAAATTTTACAATTTAAATTTCATACATTGAAGCAACAGGAGAGAACAATGCAGCAAGTCCTAGAAAATTACTACAGTATTGATTTTTATGGAGAAACATTTTTGTTTTATGATGAAGATGTGCTATGAAAATAATATTTGTGTTAAGCTAATTAATAAAAATATACATAATAAATAAAAAATCTTTATATGATTTCTATTGACTTGGAGTAATCAGCTGGTCTAATACTCATGAGAATCTATTTTGTGCGCACTAAGGCAACAAGATGTTTGTCTAGAGAATATTTAAGTTATTAAGGATTTATATACTGGGTATTGAATACTTAGTTTATTAGATACTATAATTTTGTTGGATGTAATTAGAAACATACATAGATTTTTAAACCCTACAAACACTTTCAAAATATTTTAAAAGTGAATATTTTATTTTCTCGCTCAAAATGAGTAAAAATGGGACCATTACAAATTACTTTCAAAAAATAACTTCGCCTATTAGTTAGGTTGATAACAATGATGTTAGATGAATAGGAGAGAAAAGGATACACCTAAGATAGCATAGATAAAAGTTTAGTTTATCTAAAAAGCACTTAATAGTTAATAACCAATAAAAATGATAATTTATAAGGCTGATCTCAAATAGTTGGGATGCTGCTAATATGATGATGATATGTTAAAAATATTATATGTATATGCACATTTTTTGTTTGAACTCTAGAATTATGTTCATGGGCGGATCCATCTTAAGGCCTTGCCGCCCTTGAAAAAATAAAAAAATTCTTTATTATATGATTCTTTAGCTAATTTATTATATGATTCTATAGTATTTTTTAGTCTTTATTACCAGAATTTTTAGGCAATTGCTAAAAGTTTTCCTTTTTATTGTTTTTACGATTAATCTCCCTGGATCGTTTTTCTTTCCTTTTTTTTAATACAATTTCTATGGTGTTTCTGTTGGTAATATCTATAGCATAAATTTAGACTATGTTGCTGATGACTAGTTATTCTGAACAAACAACAATCGTCTCCTTTTGCTTCTAAAATTCGTGATTTACTCCAGTATGATACTGACTAATTCCTCTACCTTGGCTGCAGCGATGGAGTTAGCCTTGTCGCTTGAGAGGCTTGTAAATGAGAAGCTCCTTAATACACACAGTGTGAGGATCCTTATTCTGTCTTTCTCTAATGATAATTTGTGATCAAGAATTGTATCCTGACGTAGATTATATGAATGAACAGGTAGCAGCACGCTTCAACGATCCTCACACGACAGAGTTCATTGAAAGCGAGTTCCTTGAAGAGCAGGTAAAGCCTTCTTTTTTCTTTTCCTTTTTTGCTTAGAAAGATTTAGGCTTCGTTTGGGACGGCTTTTTTACTGCTTCATAAAGCAGCTTTTTAGTACAAAAATTAAATTTTTTTACTAAAAAGCTGCTTTAAGAAGTAGAAAGAAAGTCGCCCCAAACAAAGCCGTACTCCCATCTAGACATATTCAACATATTCATTAACAGTCATGTATTCTTTAGTTTTCTGTGTTCCTGTGTTAGCCTGTTCTTCATCTTTATATGTTTTTTTAATCAGGTTGAGGCCATTAAGAAGATATCTGAGTATGTTGCCCAGCTGAGAAGGGTTGGCAAGGGGCACGGAGTTTGGCACTTTGATCAGGTTTTGTTGCACGGGGAAGAGAATGGCGCTGCTTGATCAGTTGGGGAAGAAGTTAGTTTTTTATTTTCTTGAAGGGTTTGTCGTAGTGGTTTTTGTCTGTAGTAATAAAGAACAGTCATGTCTCCTCTGATGTTGTAGGCAAAACATCATTTACTATCAAGACTTTTATGTTATAAATGGAGTTAGCTGTATATGTCTGAATATGGAGAGATTATTACGTGTGGTGTTCCGATCGTTTGGAGGCAAATCCCGACATGCCAACTCACCCGGATGCATCGGGCCCTGGGTGACGTGGCACGTCTAGATTCGCCTCCGTATGAATCCGGACGCCGCACGGAATAATTTTCCCTGAATATGGGGAGGATTTATGATTTAAATCTGAAGGACAGTTTCTATGGTAATTTGCTGCAGTTGTAGATATATGATGGTAGATGGTATTAGCTTATGCTGTCATTTATCTTTCTAGATTCAGAATCAGCATGCTTTGCTTTGCTTCTTCTTTTGCAATTGCAATTATAAGGGCTTTTACATGGAAAGCCTGCTGTATGAGATATTCTGGGTCATGATGCATGTGAGGTCCTAACTAGTCTCATGCCTTCCGCTTTGGAGAAATTATTCTATGCAGACATCGGACGGTCCGGAGATCAATTAAAGCGCATCACGTCACCCGGTACATCAGTACCGAACAAAAAAGTGATGCGGCGCGTTCTAGTTGGTCTCATGATGTCGTTCGGATCCGCACAAAATAAATTTTCTTTGCTTTGGCCCTTCGTAATGAAAGGGAGGGGATGTAACTTAAAAAACTTAAAAAGAGCTTTGGGGTAGGCCTTTCATTCCAATCAAACGTTTCACGTTCAAAGCATATTCTAACCCCTAATATGTTAATAATTGTGATTAAATTGCTCAGTAGACCAAAAAAGAGAGAGAGAGAATTAATGAAAAACTAACGCAATTCAATTAATGGTATAAAAAAAAAAAAAAGCAATTCAATTAAAAAAAAAAAAAAAAAAAAAACTAAGCTGATAGCTGTTACACTGTTCATAAAGTCATAAAAGCACTACAGGAAATTCAGACATTATCGGCGGTTTTTTCGGACGGTTTTGTAAAAAACCGACAGCTTTCTGGCGGTTCAAAAACCGCCGGAATAAACCGTGTAGGAAACGATTTTTGGCGGTTATAGCCGCCAGTAATACTTAAATTTCCTGTAGTGAAGCATGCAAAGCTACCAAGCTCAAGACTTATGAAATCAGTTCAAATTTTGTTTTGGAGGGGCAAGGATTCCAACCTATTTAGCCATTTTTGAGTTCCAGTTTAATCATTTTTGAGTTCCATGTGGGATCTTAGTGCACAAGGAAATTATGTTAGATGTGAAAGAACTCTCTTCTAAGAAAGAGTTATCAGTTGGTTGTTCCTATTTTGTAACTTGGACTTCTTATATTTTAGAAGGACAACAACAACATCAAGCCTAATATATACAAAATTATTGTATTTTTTTGAAGTTGATATTTATTTTTTTTAGTTTCAGATAAAAATTATTAAATATGTAAATATATATAAATTGAAAATAATTAATGATTGATAAGTCGTATTTAAATATGTAAAGATCATGATTATAATTAGATGTGATTGCATATAAATATACTAGAATAGAATTGTATTGATTATAGTTTGTTAACACATGTGATCATATATGATGAAACGGCCTTGCAGTGAGAGCTCGAGGGCGGCCGGTGTGGGGTCGGCGGCCGGTGTGAAGTCGTCGGTGGTTGTCAAGCTGCTCGATCGCGCGAGAGGCTGGCGGAGGCGACGACGGAGCGTGGGCGAAGAGAGAGAAGGGAAGAAAAAAATGAAATGGGAGGCTCCGGCTGGTTCATTTTAGGGCTTTTACCGACGGTTTTCCGGCGGCTTACGCCGTCAGTAATAAAATCACTTAACACCGGCGGTTGTCGCCGCCGGAAATATTTAAGTCCGGCGGTTAATCTGGCTGTTTCATGACCGCCGCTAGTTCCGGCGGCATATTCTTAAAAAACCGCGGTTAAACCACCGTTATTACCGTCGGCTAGACAACCGTCGGTCTAGGCCGCCGGTAATAGCTGAATTTCCTGTAGTGATAGACATAATCTCATTCCATATTACTTGAAAATCATCTTAGAAAAGATGATATTTGTCATTTATGCAATGTCACGTGACTCTAACTTGATAATTTGATCACTATGCTAGTACATTGTTACTCATGTTTCTTTATTATTCATAATTATTCACACTTGATTACTTTGGAGTTTATGTTTTAATAAATAATAGTTACTTAGGGGATTTTGTTTATCGATCGCATTTTTCTTTGCATTTAGATTTTGTTTCACTTTTTTTATTGTACTCTTGCATGAGCTTTATTAAATAAATAAAATATTAGTCATTTTAGTTGGTTAATTTTACTATTTTAATTATTTTCTATGAACTTTTCTTTAGTCAGTACTAAGTGCACAGCATGATTTCATATTTCTTCATCATATCTCATTTTATCTAGGTATATGATCTTCCAAATTAGGGGCATAACAAAAAGATTCTCTCATTTTGTTGTATTCATTCTCCACACTATTTGTTAAGTGTTCATGCTCTGTATTATTGTGTATTATTATATTTTACTTTGTATTGCTTGTATCTAAGTTTGTACACATCAATACATAATAATACACAATGTGTATTAAGAAAAATAAATATATGGCTAACATAATTTCCCTAATATACTGCGATGTACAAACTCAAAAAAGTTTCAAATGAGTAAATACAATAATATGTATTACGATAAACTTGTATTAGGTTTGTACAGAGCGATACACAACAATACGCAACAATGCACAATAATATATAGTTGAAAATTTAGCTTTTTTCTCTGATACTTGTTTTGTATTATTGTGTATTGCTATGTATTGCTTGTATCTAAGCCTACACACAACAATAAACAACAATACACAATATATATTATGAAAAATAAATACATTTTCAACATAAATTTTCTAATTACATCATCAAAAAATTGAAAATACACTCTAAACCTTAAACAACTATATATTTACATTAAAATTTTTTAAAAAAATCCAAAAATATTATTTTACATAATTGTTTAACAAAAGAATGATTCTTCTTGGCATTCGACATATAAATAATTGGAGAACACATCCTAAATGTTTAAACAATTATATATTTACAGGAAACTTAGTGAAACTTGGGAGGAGTTTAAAATTTACTGATTTTAACCACAATTTATCTCTCATGGTTGGCTGCAACAAGTATTCTTGAACGTTTTGCATAACGCATTTTATCTTTTCGTAGAATGCAACGTCCTCTAAATTAGTTTTCATCTTCATCACTATTAGCGTCGCATTATTCACCCGAAAATCAAAATAGTATAGGTGAACAGTTCACCGCCAATATTAGCGTCGCACTATTCACCCGAAAATAAATGACGAAAGATTTGAGGATTGGCTGGAGCGACCCAGCTATGCCATACCTTGTTTGCGTTCCTTGGAGATGCTCTAAGTGGTAGCAAATCTTTTATTAACATGCACGGCTCTGACAGGCTGGCAGCTGTACGTTTTCTCTCTCATCGGTATGGCCAGCATTAGGTGGATGGATAGGCCGGCTGAAGCTCCTTATCCTGGCTTCCGTAAACAATTCCAGCGGGTCCTCTTTATTGTAATTAGACTTTGTAGTAAATTAGTTCATTTTTGTGCTCATTTTGTTAATAGATAGAAATTTTGTAATAGAAGATTACACAGATAATTATAATTTATTTTTTTGCTTCTGGATTAATAAATGCAAGACGCACATTTTTAGTATTAGTAGCAATTTTTTTAATTAACTTATAGAAATGTAAAGCTATCTATCATAGCTTTCATCGGTAGCAAATTTTTTTAATTAGCATATAATATTTAATTAATATTAATAAATATTTCATACTTGGGACTGGTGCTCGCTCAAGTAGGGAGGTCATAAGACTCTGTCTATTTAAGTTAAATTTGTGGAACGCCGTTATGTACAAAAATTTAAGGTAAAATCATGAAGAGGGGGTTTAGGTTTCATTTGTGACAGTTTTTTTATTGTTTCTTAAAATAATTTTTTAGTATAAAAATTAAAATTTTTGTACTAAAAAATTGTTTTAAGAAGCAGTAAGAAAGCCTTCTCAAACGAACCCTAAATATGATTATTTGGAAGAGATTTGGACTAGGTTTTGTTTGGGACAGCTTTCTTTCTGTTTCTTAAAGCAGCTTCATAGTACACAAATTTACAAAAAATAAAATTTTTGTAAGAAGTTGCTTAAATAAGCGATAAAAAGGCCGTACCAAACGAAACCTTAGTTTGGGATGACTTTCTTATTTCTTTTTTAAAACAGCTTTTTATAATAAAAAATTTATCACAAACTCTTCTTCTTCGTATCATCCTATGCCACCACATCTATTGATACCTTCTCTTATGAGCTTGCATT